AATAAGAATTATACTTAAATATTTGTAGACAAGTAAAAATATAAATTTATATTATAAAGTTAAATATATTTCTAAATTTAATTACTTTATACATCGCATGTACAAATTATAATCAGTTTTATATTTTATTAAATAACTAAAACTTATTAATTATATAGAAATACAATCTGGTTGAACTAAATGCAACATAGTAACAATTTATATTCTAATAATTGAACTTAGTAGTAAATAAAATGTTAAAATATTCATGAAATTTTTTTCAACAAGAAGAAAAAAGTAACTTACTTGGTAAGGATTGTGCACCTATGTTATCAGTTCGATTTGCAAACGGGAAGTTTAATTTTTTATTGAGATTCATATTAAATATATCTTAACTCGCAATTAATAAGTTCAAACTTTCCATATTAATTAAGTTGGAAATATGTATATCAATCACCTTAGTATTTTGGTTCAATCAAAAAGATTTAAAAGATAAGTAATATAAGTAATAAATTAAATTTTTATCCATAAATAAGTTTGATTGAGTAGCATTGTTCCTTGTAACGATCAAAGTTGGTAAGCTCAGCGGTCAACACAGTTGTCCATATACCAAGAAAATATTCAACAACCATAGATAATGAAATAGTATTGTGAGGGAGTGGTGAAAAAAACTCTCATCGATGAGTGAAATATAACATGAACTGTAAACTCATGAGTAGTGAGATGAGCCCAGGACTGTGACTGTGTGCTTATTGAATAATGAGCTAACAACTCAAAAGCAGTGACTTAGTTAAGGAAACTTATTAGAGTCATAATGAAATATTCATAGGACAATTGTTATTACTTACAAATCAAAATCTGAGTGATATATCAATAATTAATATAAAATTTAAGTGAAACTAAGTGGAGATTCGAATTAACTGATGTTGAAGAATCAACACATGAGTTGTGGTTATGGTAAAATATAATTTGAATCCATAACTAGTTGATTATTCATAAAATATGTTGAAACGTAATAATTAACTGAACATATAAATGTAAAATATTGTTTCGGTACACGTCACAATAGTGATATTAAATTGAAGTAAACTTTACATACTAAATATGACCTCAAAATAATATAGATCAAATTTTTTATTTGTTTAATGTATTTAGATTACTGCAATATTATTTATGTTTGTTTAACTAAGTACTCTATATTTTTTATTTTCTCTCTTATTTATAAGAAAAATGCAAATGATTTTTTTATGCAAATATTTGTGTGTATCACCTTCTAAAATGTTCTTATAAAATTGAAAGGGAAACTAAGGCAATAAATTTTTAATTATAACAATTTTAGTAAAAATTTGAAAGTTATTATATGAATTTTAATTATTATATGTCAATTTTATTTGTAATTAAAACAAAAATAAAATAAATAAATAATTTTAAATATTAAGATATGTAATTTATCTATTTTATTTGTTATTCTATCAATACCTATCGGATGCAAACCTTAAACATTATAAATGTTTTACTACTTATTCACTTTTAATTTTATTATTAACTTTTGACTCGTGTAAGTACGAGAATTTATGTTGATTTCATCTTCATGATACCATTCATATATGAACATTTAATTATCAATAATGATTATACTACTAAAAAAATATATCAATAATAGTTATAAGCTCAATTATATAATTTTATTGGTATACAAAGAATCTCTTTTCTTGCATTCATTAGAATTCATAGAATATAAAATTAAAATTAAGAAATTAGTAATTAAATTATAAGATAATAACAGTTTACATCGTATACAAATTAATTTATTTTAAATAAATAATATGATTTGTTTTAGTTTTAAAAATGAATTATTTTAATCACTAATATAAACCTCACATTATATTAGTAGTACTTTTGGTTAAAAAATTATCAATAGATAATAAATAAATTTTGATCGTAGCTTATAAAATTTGAGTATTTTATAAAATTAATCTAATTGCAAAGATAATTAATAAAGAAAAATCTTAAAAGAAAATTTTAATTTTATTGCACAATTATAGAGATAATAAAAATAATATATTTAATTATAAAATTTAAATAATAAGTCATCCCAAACAAATTATATAACACTATTTTGAAAGAAATCAAGTCTAAGACAATCAAAACTCCCAAATAAAAAGTTCAGAAACCTCCATATAAGTTATCATAGGTCGGCCCAATACCCATTACAACCCAAACCCGAAACCGCTCTACAAACCAGAAAACAGAAATCAGAAACCCCCGATTTTTTCTCCATCCTTCACCGTAATGGATTCCTTGCTAGCAAGCTACGCCTCCTCAGACGACGACGACGACGAGCGGCAACCACAACAACAACATCACGCAGCTTCCTTCTCGTCCAAACAAACTGAACAGTCGTCGTCTTCTTCTTATTCAAAGTTTTCTTCTTTTTCATCGGTCGATGAAGGTAACTCCGCGCCGGTCTCTGTATCAAAAGCTTCTTCTTTATTCTTTTCTCTTCCCCAACCTAAACAGATCCCTCAAGTCCCCAAACACCCAGTTGATGGTGGTAGACGGAAAGATGATCTGAAACCCTCGTCTGAACCCAACTCGTCTTCTCTTTTTTCGCGTCTTCCCCTGCCTAAATCTCGAAAACCCGAAGAATCCATTTTCGATTCGTCGTCTTTAGGCCCCACCCCAAAAAGGGTCGTTCAATTCAGGCCTCCCATTAGTCTTACCCCAGTTAAATCCATCGAGGATGAGGACGAGGAAGATGATGGAGAAAAGGAGAGAAAGAGGCGCAAACAATCGGAATCTCAGGCTCAGCATTCCTCTGTGAAGTCCTTCCTCTCCAGCATTCCGGCCCCGAGGAATTCCGGCACTTTAGGTGTTCTGCAGTCTTCAGGTCCGGCTCGAAGATCCATTGTTGAAACGGAAGCACCCCCGGCGAGTACCGGTGGTTCTGGAGATGACAATGAACCGAGTACCAATCAAAATGTTGAGAATTTTGTCACCTACGAGTCAGGTAACAACCAAAGTGCCATGAACTATGCGCAACATGAGGAGGTTGTGGAACACAGTTCAGTAAACTATGAGTATTATGGACTGGGTGTTGGTCAATATCCGGCTAGTAATGAGAACTACGGTGCTTATGGGAGCTATGACCAAAACGTTGGGATTAGTGGTGATGCTTCAGGTTATGGAAGCTATGAGAATTATGGTGCTTATGCGAGTTATGATAATCAATATGGGAATACATGGGAAGATGGTTCTGGAACAACAATGGTGCCCGAGGCAAAGGAGATGGCTGAGAGTGCGGTGAAGGTGCCCGGCAAGAGAGGGAAGAACGAAGTTCCGACAGAGATTGTTGAGGTGAAGCAGGATGAATTAATGAAGAACCGGCCGAGAGAGGATCAAATGAAGTTGACCGGGATTGCTTTTGGCCCTTCTTATCAGGTATCAGAGTTGGGAATTAAATTCTTTAGCTTTGTGATTTTTGTGTTTAATAATATAAGCTCCAGTGCAATGTCATGCAGGTTTTACGTTTTTGATATCTGGTTTACTTTCATGCTGAATTCTGGTTTATTTGCAATGTGATGCAAGGAATAGTGTTGTTAAAAGGAAGAGTTTAAGAGATGAGATAGTTCCAAAGCTGTAGTTAGATGTTTCCCTGGGGCGGCTGGAAGCTTTCTCCCTTGAGGAAAGGTACTTTGAAAAATATTAGGGGCCTGCGGGTAATGAGGCAGCCAATTATGTTTTACAATGAATGGGTATGAACTGTTGGCAAGGGGATTAATCTTCATGAGTTGGACAGTTAACTCTAGGGGGTAATATTGATAAGTGGTGATTTTCCTGATGTAGGAGTGAGAATGAGTAGGTTTTCTATCTTGCATAATTTCAGGAACTTATCTGTTTCTTATAGTAAAAAATGTCCTAGGTCAGAAACCTCATAGAGCTCTTTCTCCTGACTTCTGATTAATTCATTGTCATAATTCCATGAGCAATTGCCACTTTTTTCTCCATTTTTTTTAGACTTGTATTTTGTGGAGTGTGACATTTACTTTCTTGTTTTGGTCACGCACTAGCCTAGTGCTTTTTATCTCTCTACCTTATGGTGTACAAGGAATACCAAGGAGTATATGGTGTTGTCAAGAGGCACTATTTTACTGGTTTGTCGATCATGTGATTGGCACAAAATGTTAGGACTTTCTAATTTCATTTTCAACCATATCACATTATATGGGACAAGCAATTTTGTTTGCTTTGCATGAGGCTTAATCCATGGTTTTTCCTAAAGGATATATTTAGTGTTTAACATTTAGGATTTGTTTGCATTTTACTTTCTCATTAAGGGAAATAATTGGTTATTGAGATTGTAAATTCCAATCATAGTGGTTAGGGTTTAAAGGGTAAGGGATTTTCTCATTATGTGGGAATATTAAAATACCTTAAACAAGGTTGGAAGAAGTTATTTCTCCTCGACCATTTGGTTTGGTGGGAATAGGATGAATTCTTGTTTTGACATGATGGTACAATGGAAAATCCATACGGATCTCTCCTTCATAGCTAGATGAGGAGGCCTTAG